AAAATCACCACAACTACCAAACACTGGAACTGGCAATAACATGTGACAGACACTCCTTAGATCCAGACTGTTCTTTTGGAAGGGCAGGGTAGAAAATTACCAAATGGTTCTGTAGCCATTATTTTCTAGAAATCAACCTCTACTGCATAGGCAGTATTTTTGCTCTTAAATATTCGTGGACCCTTTTAAATTTGCAATTACATAAAGACCTGCACTCATCCAAAACACTGAGTCCATGAAAGGATTAAGGCTGGGCTGTTGATACAGGCACCTTGGTGCTGCACTAAAAAATGGTTCTTTAATAACAGTAACTTTTCCTCAGAGTCTCAGAGTTGCATAAAATTTTTATGGGCCAAGTAGACTCCAGTGTGCATTTATCATTATCTGTACTCACACATAATCCAGACAATTAAAAATGCTGTAGTCACTAGCATATACAACATTATGAAGTAGAACAGGCTGTTAGATAAGAAGAGGAAACGTATCCTGGACATTTTTTATCATCCAAACATAACAGTACCAGGGCTCTCTATGCTCTGCTGCCAAGTGCCATTGCACAAAGCCAGCCTAAGCAATGTCAGAACCCCTTCCCCCCTGTGAGAAATGCAGTAAAGCAACATATGTCCTAGCAGGGCACTGTATGTTTATATTGCAGTTTGCATGTTTTATCCTGGCTGTAAAAATCAGGCTTTTTCAGTGTGTAAGCAAGCTCATATGATAAAGTTCAGATTTTTTACATAGTCTTTCTCTGTAAGATGAGCTGTCTAAATGTCAGAGCTGGCCAACATTTTCCAAAGCTTGGAAACACTTTCTTACTTGGTGACCATAGGGAAGCTTTTCTTCCTGTGCAATTTTCCTTCTTTTATTTCAGGCACTCAGTTAAATACTTGTGCTGCCAGGACCACAGGTACAAAGCTGAGAGAAACACCTTTTGTTTGTTTGTTTGTGTCCAAAACTAGCATAAGTTGATGTGTATATGCTAAAGGAGTCTGATGTTTAAAATACTATTCTCTGAGGTTCTCCCCACATTAAAACCATTATCTGACTTTAAAAAACCCGCCAGTGATGCCCATTCAAGCTGGCAGAATTCAGAGCCTCCTGAAATCAGTAAGAATTTTGTTATAATGTAGCAAAACTGTGATTTCCCTTTAGGCAGAGTCATACAGAAAAATGCTGAGGTTACTGTTCATTACATAAACTCTTGACTCTTTGAGCCCAGAAGGTGAATGGGCAGATGTACAGTATTATTAATTCTATGTACAGTATTATTAATTCCACCTAAGGAACTTCAGTTGCTCCTTTTTGATCCTTCAGTGGTCCAAGTCTGCAATAATTTTTTTTAGTCCTTGTTGTGAAAGGATCAAAGAATGACAGAATTATCCAGGTTGGAAGGGGCCCCTGAAAGCATCCAGTCCAACCTCCTGATCAAAGCAGGTCTAATTAATCAGGCTGCCGAGGCACACACCCAATTGAATCTTGGACACCTCTAAGGATGGAGAACCCAAAGCCTCTCTGGGCACCCCTTCCAGCCTTTGACCACTCTGGTTACAAGATTTTCCTTGTATCTGACTGGAATTTCCTTTGCTCCAACTTGTGGCTTTCAGCATCAGGACCCCCAGCTCCTTTTCTGCAGAGCTGCCCCAGCCTGTTTCATTAGGATCTCACTGATGACAGTTCTTACACCATTTCTCAAATTATCTATACTAAAAGGTTTTATGTATTTTTTTTCTTTAAAAATTTCATCTATCCTAGGTCTCACTTGGCCTTGAAGTGCTATGAGTAGAACAGCTTAAGAATGTGAATGTACAGCAAATGTGCTTCCCATTAGCTCTTAATGCCATAAATCTAAAATCCTTGATACTACTGTTAGAGCAGTGCTTCCACTCAAATCTTAAAAGGAGCTTTAGACAGGATAGTCAGACTAAGCAGCCACACAAGACACTTAGTGCTGCCTAGGACAGGCTTGCAAATGCACAAGGATCAGAGGTCCTGCCCCTGTGCATCACTATTCACTTACAATGGAATCATTTTACATTACATTAAGAACTATACTCATATTCTAGTATCACTTACTTTTTCATACCCTCTGCCACCAGAAATATGCTTAAAGATATCCATCCAGCCCCAAGTGAACTATTCTGGGAAAGTTTCCATTTAGATGAGAACATTTACTCTCATAAATACATGATATTTTTTAAGCTTAATTCAGTATGAATAACTGGTTCAACTTGGTGCCTGCTCATGAGTGAGCAGTTGGAAGGATCTGGTTAATCATTGTTTGCCATCTGCTTTGGAGAATCAGCACTGTACAGAACCTTTTCTGAAGCAAATAAAACCCCAATGTACAAAGAGCACTAAAGGAAAATCCTGTTTTCAGATATGGGGTGGTTCCATCAGATTTCTTGGCCAAAAATGAAGGCAGCTCCTTTCAGTTATTTGTTGTTCTCTCAGAAAGGCTCTGAATTTTCTAATCTCTCCAGTCTATTAAAACCAACTCTAAGTTCTTCTGAACAGACAAGCCAGGATTTAAAACACTGTATTGAGTCAAAAAGCACATTTACCTCCTCACAGAAAAACATCAACATGAAAAAATAAAATTGGTTGACTATCTATGCTGCTTTCTTGGCTCATCTTCCCCATCTGGTGTGACTGACAAATGCTGTGTCATACTTGGAGAGGGAACAAAATTTCCATTTTTAGATTTTGGAATCCAGGATTTCCCAAAAAAAAAAAAAAATTGCTTCAAAATGAGGAAAAATATATGTGAATGATGTAAAAAGGTTCCACTTAAACAAAGAAAAGTTGCTGGGAAAAGGCGTTTCCTAAACTGAGGTTTTATTAAAATACACATTCCTAACAAGTGGCAAAAATATCAGAAGAAATGCTGAGCATGAGAAAATCAGTACTGCTAGGCTCACTGTGATATTGAAGATCTAGCACTGGGGGCCATAATTCAGGTTATTAAAGTCCTTTTTCAACACTGATTAAAGTTCAATTCAGAAACATCAACAGGAAACCCAGGCTCCAATGTTCTTAATATTGGGAGGGCCAAAGACTGCAGTCTTCCATCAGAAACTCAAAATCTGTTCCTCCAGGCCTTGCAAATACTGAGCTCTGAGTATATTCAGTCATTTAAAAAACCTGCCACTGAAAAATATTTTACCTTTGAAAAACTTCTTAAACAACTGGAAATGCTCCCTCTGACTTTTTGCTCCAGTCAAAAATTTCAGTTATCTTCCTTTTCTTTGCAGATTTTGTGGGGTACTGAATCATGGAATCACAGAATGATTTGGGTTGGAAGGGACCTCAAAGATCATCCAGTTCCAGCCCTGCCATTGACAGGAACATCTTCCACTATGCCAGGTTGGTGCAAGTCCTGTCCAACCTGGCCTTGGGCATTTTCAGGGCTGGGGCAGCCACAGCTGCTCTGGCACCCTGTGCCAGGGCCTCATCACCTTCAGGTGAAGAATTTCTTCCTAATGTCCAATCTAAAGCTACTCTCTGTCAGTGGAAAGCCATTTCCCATTGTCCTGTCACTCCAGGCCCTTTTCCCAAGTCCCTCTTCACCTCTCTTGGAGACTCTTTGGCACTGGAAGGGGTCCCAGAACCTTCTCTTTAAGTTGTTTTATCCAATGACTGGGGATCCCTGCTGTTGCAGATTCCTGAGACCTGACAGTGGTTTGCTATTTGAAGAAACTGGTACCAACAGAGGTCTTGAAAAAGAGATTATGCAGTGAGCCTTTGGAGACTTTAGGGTTCCAGACTCAGTATGCTCTAATGAGCACAACAGGGCTCTCTGACAGTCCTACTGGGATTTTCCCTCTCTTACAGCTGGCAGTAAGAGAAAGAAAGATTTAATTAGCACAGAAGAGCTGCATTGCCTTCCAAGTACTCAGCAAAAAAATCTTTGGAAGAGGGAAGTGAGCAAGGTGGGAGAGAGGAAAGTCCTTTGGGTATGCAGAAATTTAATGAGTTGGATTAATTTACCAACCAGACCACATATTTCTTTCATGATCATGAGCAAATACTTGGGTCAGGTTTTTAGAAAAATAAGCTCAGTTCTTCTGGCTTCTTCAGATGCTAAAATAACTCATCAGACTTTTCAAAGACAAAGTGCAACTCAGGTGTCAATCTCCCTGGAAATGTTGCAAGCTGACCCACACTGAAGACTTCTAAAGATCCATCCCTATCTGTTGAGGTTATGCATCTTAAAGTATCCACAGCTGGGCTTCACTTCCTCACCTGTAAAACATTGTGTTCCTCCTCTGTGTTCTGAGGAGAACAAGTTTGTAATGCCCATGAACCAGCTCTGAGAAGCTTCAGTGTTGAGATCATTTCACTGACACAGGGCACGTGTGTCACAGGGACCTCCTCTACTTCTGGCTCTGACAGGAAGGGAACTGGGATTCTACAAACTCCAAAGTCATGATCACAAGGTGCCACAGATGCCAGGGTTGCTCTAAACTCAGTGAGGAGTCTGGCTGTTAGTTATGGGAAGGAGGAGAGCACTTTTCACTCCTCTTAACAGGGACTAGTGTCCCTTCTGGCATGTGTCTGTATTGAGTTCAACTGTTTGCTGCAAAGCCTGTTAGACAGTATCTCTCTATAAAGAAGAGATGTTTAGATCAAGACTTGACTTTCCTTTCTAGATTCAGCACTATTCTTTGACAGCTACAGGATACTTAACCAAACAATTCAGATGCTGGTTTTGAGAGATGAAAACTATGCCAATACACATTTAGTGTATCTTCAGAGTCCTAAATATGTCTTAAAATACCCTGCAATTACCATAAAGGTCTCTAGCTTGCTTAAAATTTAACTAAAACATTGGACTTGGATGCAGTAGGACTAATGGGCCTGCTCAAGACCAAGCTCCTGGCATTCCAGATCACCCTTGTAGCATTCCCTCAGAAGGAACACAGGTGTTGCTTGAACTTATTATTCCAGAATAATTTGCTTCTCATTAAGGTGAGATGAGTACAGGTGAAGACATGAAATACCTGCAAAAGTTCTCTCTTTGATCCCTCAGCTGGGTCTAGCAGAAGTCGAGGGTCTAAGGTCTTGCCAACAGGAATTCCACACAACTGATTCCACATTCTACAGCTGTTTCTCCTGAGAAAGACCTGTCAGGAATGTATCAATAGTTTTTTTCTGCAGGCATGAAAGAGTAGGGAAAGCAGATTAATAATGCTAGAGTATCACCCTTAAGCTGGGCAGGAATCAGTATCACCCTTAAGCTGGGCACAGTAAAACATCTCATGTGGGCAAGTAATTTCAGCCTGTATCTGTGCCAAGACACAGCTATACAGGGCTATATGTTCTTGTAGACACAAGCCAAGACAGAGAGAAGAAGTCTATTTTCTGATTCATTCCTATGGATATCTCCACAAGAACATCTCTGGTTGAGGATCATGTATTTTTTATAGATATATTTTCAACAGCCTTTCTCTAGTACTCAACTCATTATCAACACTCCCCATTTCGCCACATCAACATTTTATTTGAAGTATCAGTCATAGCACCCCATCAAAATTTAATAGCCACTTTCTATAATTAAAGCATATTAACTCTTGGTTTCACCTATGCTAAGGTTTATCTTTCTCCTTCTTTTAAAATTCTAATGATATTAAAAATACAGCACCTTTCTACAGCATGACTCAGAGTTGCATAATATTTCTTTCTTCAGCTCGTGGGTAAGGAACAGAGATACAAACAAAGGCAGAAGAATTCTCTTTCCAAGTCTATAGCTTTATACTGAATCCTGAGTGTCAAACCAATAGGGCTTTTAAGAAAAATGTCAACAACTGTAACAGTTACATAAGACATAGTTAGAAAAATACTTTGCAAGGAAAATGACAGTTTCTGTCACTTGAGAAGATGATTTATACTTCAGCTTTAGAATGCAAGCATGTGACCTGACATTTACTAAAGAAATCAAAGAAATGTTGAGCAAGATTACAAAAGGCAAAGCACTGATTGCCCTCTACCAGCAGCTCCTCTCTGTACTACAGAAAGATCTGCATAGTCTTCCTCTCAACATTATGCAAAAAAATAGAGAGGGAGGTCACAACAACAGCTCTCCCTGTTGTCACTTTGTGCTGACTTGCCTAAGTTCTGAAGGCCATCTGGTGCTGTTTGTGCTGCCTTTATGCCTTGTGTCTCATTATGTTCTTTATGAACCAGAAGGATTCACAGGTCACATCAGCTGTGTTTTAAGTTTTTTTGCAATAGAATTTGATGGCTAAAACGGTGCATAAAGAGTGTACAGCTGCTGATGACAGAACATGGTGAAAAGGACACCAGGGGCAGGGGTGCCCAAGTAGGAAGCACAGCAGGTCAGGTGAGCTGGGCTTCCTCACTGGTTCTATTATACATTTCCTGTAGGACTTGAAGTGGTTACCCTTGGGGCTCAGTTCTATCACTTGTTAAATATGTTAAATCATAATTCCCTATCTCACAGTGATACTGTGAGGCTTATTCATTAATGGGTTCCACTCAGTGCTGGGCAGATGGTCAATACAAATTTTATGCATCATTGAAGTAACATTTAACCTCAGGACTTAAGTGGCATATAGCCTTGTGCTGGTCACTGAGCAGTCACTGGATAAATATCAAGCATTCACTTTACATAAAATATTTGAGAGGCATGAGTTGTTAGTAGTGCTGATTTTGCATCTCTGAAGTTACAAATTTTCAGGATGACAAATGTAAAAGGATATATTCTTCAAATGCAGTGCAAAACAGGTTCTAAGTGCATCTCCTTGTGATGGTAATAAATGAGGAAGAGAAAATGGTAACACTGCTGAACCAGGCATACAGTGATTAAATGAGTCCATGAAACAAGCACTTTAAGTCTCAAGAATGACCATTGATAGTATCTGGAGGGATTTCAATTTTACTGTTGGGAGAAGAGTTGTTTTTACTGGCCCCACCCAAAAAACCAATTCATTGAATGTGATTGCCATTTACCTGCAGAAACACAGCTACAATTCAGCATAGTAAAGAGTTTAAAGGTGCACCTCAAAGATATTTATAACCAAATAAATATTTGCTTTGCTTAGTGTGGGAAGCACAAAGAAGAAAAAAGTACTTTTCTGAACATCTTTTTCAATGTTTCTGAGGACTATTTTTAAACTTTATTGCCACAAGTAATGTACCATGAAGAGCTAAGCACCAGCAAGAAATGCATCTCCAGTGTGATTACTATGCATACCTTGTAATTTCCTCTGCAGAGATGACCAATCTTCACTTCTTTAGTTTTTAACCTGGTTCCCCAGTAAGTCATTCTTTCTGTTTCTAAAGAGAGAGAAACAAAAAAAAAAGTGTCATCCTTATGATGGAAAAAGAGAGCAACAGATATACAGATATTAAATACAGCCTCCCAAAGTCTTTTCTACAGGTGAGGATTCTGTTTCAGAAGAAGGCCAGTGTCCCAAAACTTATTTTGGAAGCCTTAATTGAGGGTAAGTAGGGCATGAATGGTACTTTGTGGAGGGATGACTTTACCCTCAGGGAAGCACTATGACAAGTTCCTGAGACCAGTCAATTTAATAGCTGCAAACCTTGAAAGCTTTGAGTGAAAAAAAGTTTCCTCTACTTTCATAGCCAAGTGAGTTTAAAGGAAAGTTACCAGATAAAAATATTTCAACCTTTACCCCAAAATATCATCCTTATTTCCAGACCTTTAAAATTACTATACCAATCACCAGTAGAAAGATTAATTGTGGTCAGATTAATTGACCAGTCATGGACATCAATATATCAGGTGTAAATCACTCCTAAAATGTAGCATTCAGCAGTTTAGTCTCAGCAGCCAGGGACACTAACACTTTTGATAATGCATTTGTGTCAGTAATATCTTCACATATGCTTTGTAATCATAGTCAAGTACAGAAATGACTATCTCATATAAAAATACATACAGTATGGTGAAAAAAAATCCTAGTTTCTTGCATTGTGATGGTGATAGAACTATGGGGAGCCTAAAAAAACCACTCTCTCATGTCCCCACTATGAGAAGGGGAGAGGAGCTGAGATTCACAGAGCCCCCCAGTGTGGATTAGGGTGAGACAACACTCAAAGTCCATAATAAAACTCAAAGTCCATAAGCAACTCTAATGGCACAAATGCTATAAAATGGTGACCCTGTCACAACTGTATCCACAAAAGCTATGCAGAAACACCAAATTTAGTGGAACAAGTATTCACTAGACATTAGCCCTCTCAACAATTATATCCACTTAAACTGTGCAGGAACACCACCTGTAATGGAACAAATATTCAGTAAATGTTAACCTTCTCATAATTGAGACTGACCCTGGAATGGGCTCGAGGGCATGGTACTGATAACTCCAAGGTTGTGGGTTCCTCCCCTGTCCCACCTCTGGAACTCTCCCTTAGTGCTGGCTGAACTCACAGTGCAGTTACCTGGGCCTCATCCCTTGCACACTGCACATAAATTACTCTGGGTCACTCCAAGGAAGTGATGCTGTGATTGTTCTCTCTCTCATCACATCAAATACTAAATCTATTCACTTCTTACTGCTTCTACTTTTTTTCCCAGCTAATTCTGCTGCTGTTTTATTAAGAAAGGTTACTTTTCTCCACAAAAGCCTCAAAATTTGTATACATGTAACAGTCCATTCCAAGTCAATCTTCTTGGAATAATGCTTTCTTTCCTCCAACAAAAGACACCTCCCATTTTGGCATTCCTCACTCTTTGACCACCATAATATCCACGTGCTTCAGAACTCCTTTTGAATGTTATCCCCCAACCTCACAGGAGAAAAAGTACAGCCTTTGTTTACAGAACAGAAAGGCAGAGACAGAGAGAGGATACAGCTCACTTTTACTGTCCCAGTAAAGGTGACACAATCATACAGAGTGTCCAGATACAGACAGGGTCCTTCAGAAAGAAATCTGCAGTACATCTCTAACATACATACCCTGAACCAACCCCTTAGGAGCCTCTTTTTTCTCTCTCCATAGCAGCAGCTTAGGAATAACAATTACCTACACATGCACCTAAATTAGATGTAAATGCAAGTGAATATTCTGTTCACTGCCAAGCCTGAGAGCAAAGTCCTATAAAGACTTAAGTATCCTAAAAATTAGGGTTGGGTTACCCACTGTGAGATGATACCTGGCTTTGGAATGAAAGGCAGTGAGGCACCAGAGTTCCCCACACCATCTACAAGGAGAGGTAACAGTCTGGTTTATCTTTCTCAAAGCCACCACCTTGGCACTGCTTTGTTTTGCTTCAGTGTTCAGAGACCACCTCCTCTTCCTCAGCTCTGTAGGTGATGTAATGCTGTGCTTTCAATTTAACTCACTCTGAAATGTGCCAGTACATCTGTGTACCATTCAGAACAGCTGAAAGAATTTATTTTAATTTGTCACTCAGTTTATTAATAGAGAAGAAAAATGCATGTGTATATTTTTCCTTAAAAGAGAATATAGGTACTGTACAAAAATGTACACAAAAATAATCTTTAGTCTCAGTCAGACATCTGGCCAATGGGAACCTACAGGCAGAAAAAAGTCCAGACACAAGATGGGATAGAAATGGTACAGATAAAGAAACTCTTCAAACTTCACAGCCTTAAGACTGTATAAAGAGCATGTGTTGGTGCAGTGCCACACTGAGATTTTATAGACATGGTTTTCAGACTATTCCATTATTACAGTAGGCTACAATCCTGCAGATGTTTAGACATGAAGGACTTTATTCAGTCATGTCAGTGTTTTCATGACTGGGTCTTATTAAATTTCTTCTCCAGAGAGGTTAATAAGAAAGCCCTCTCTCGGACTGGCTAGAGAAGAACAACAGTTGCCAGATACATTTCTGTTGAAACATGAGAATGCACAACAAGAAACATCATATTAAACTTTCATCCTGAAATGCACAATGCCTGTGCTCCAGGGCCTTCAGGGGCTTGCTGAAATATGGAACTCAAATTAAAGATATTTTTATGGATTAGTCTGAAAGGGGGCATTACTGAACATCAGGGATATTGTTCCCAAACATGATCTTTAGCAAGAACTGTATTTGAATGCTGTGAGTAAAAGCAGAAAGAGGTGAATAGCAGGAACATGTTAACTACAGTCTTTGAGGCAGCCAAGTGACCCAGTCAGAGAACTAATGATAATGCTGGTCTAGAAAAGAGTGTGGAATTTCCTTTGTACTTAATATTTACACACCAAGACAGTTAAGCTCAAGTCTACATCGAGTTTTGGCCCAGAACCACCAGAGCTGGTGGTTCTTCACTAATGCAGTGCACCAAGAAAGGGCACTAGTGATAACCTCAGCCACTAATGGCTGACACTGGAAATCAAATGTGGGTTCAGCTTAACCTGGGTATGAACTTTTGAAGGCCAATGGCATAACCACCCTTCACCATGGCAGGTTGCAATAGAACAGGATTGCTGCTTTAACTCATGATTATTCACACAATACTCTTAACACACCATGATGGTAGTGCAGTACTGAGCACCACATGTAGAACTGACACTTGGTGTCTGCTAAAATGGAAACTCCCAGTTTAGTGTAGAGCAATGCAAGATGTTTCCTTTGTGGGAAGAAAGGAGAAATTATCCTTCTGATTGATTGATCCCCCATCCAACAACATGACTGACTGGAACCCCACTGAAATAGGATCTCCATGAAATAGCACCACTGGCCCCATTTTAGCAAAGTGTTGGCTATTAACCTTTTCTGGAATACTTAATCTTTGCAAAAGATTAGTATTTGAGGTGTAATAACTACAGTTATTTCCTGTCCCCATAAGCTCTACAGCCTGAATGCAATTTTACTAAAACACTTCTGTGCAAAATGCAAATTTTTGTGACATGATGCCACTTCAACTAACAACAGAAAATAACTTCTACAGTCCAAGTCCTCAAAACACAGAATCACGTAATATGCTGAGTTGGAAGGGACCCACAAGGATCATCGAGTCCAACACCTACAAAGGCTAAAGAAATGGGGTTTATGTTGAAATAATACAAAAAGAACCCAGACAAATAAAATCCATTATTGAAAGAAGCAGGTTACTAAAGTTATTATAAATAAGTTAGTAATTAATTGCATTTGAACATTCTTCTACCTACTGTCACTGAAGATGAATGCCCTCACAAATAGATTATTTGCAAATGGCTGGAATCCCTGGGCTTAGTCCCAGACTTGTCAGCTGTTTGTGCTGTGGCTGGTCCCTATGCCCAATATGTGACTGTGGATCCAAACATACAAATCCAGGATTTTGCCTAAGAATTCTCTAACCTGATGCACCTACAGTCCAGAGGGATTTTCCACGTGAATTCAACAACCACAACACTTCTGCCTATTTATTCCATATACCTAGCCCTTATATTTTTTCCATAAGCACAGATCACTGCTAGAAACAATAGAGTAGGTCCCCTTCTGTGTTCCAGATGTTCTAATGATTTTTAACTGAGGAGACTGTTTCTCTCAAAGTTTTGTTTAACATACATGCCTATTGAAACTGCCACATGCTTCTCAGGCTACAATTCACAATCAAATGCTGAAACATGGTATGGGCAGGAAGCACATCACTGCAGACAGAGGAGAGCTGAAACTGAAGCAGAGCTAATGAAGCTCCTTCAGAGTCTCTGATTCACTGCAGCTCACTGCCACTGGAACTGCAGCCTCCTCTTAGCCATCAATACCTGTTGCTAGGATTCATACCTTACCAGAAATTTCCATGGAAAACTTTAAGAAACAAAACTAAAATGCAGGCATTACCAATGAGGTCCTATGAGAACAATGATGAAAACTGTGATTGCACCGGCAGGTGTGCCTGCTTGCAGGTATTTCAGCCCACTCACAGTGCAACAGGAGCCTCACAAGCAAGGGGAGGGTGCTCCCTGGAAACCACCCGTGTGCAAGCAGGAGCACCTGAGGCTCCTCAGGACCAGCTTGGGGGAGCAGTATACTTTCCTCAAGAGCTTACTGCTCCTGAGCTCCTTTACACAAAATATGGTATGGGTTAAAAGTACTAGCAGGCAGTTCCTAATGTGTTTGTCAGGAAAACCAAGTGAGGTAGACAGAAAATATACAGCTTATTAGATATGTGAAGTTTTTGTGCCTCTGCTGAATCAGCAGTGGTGTCTGATAATGGTTTTGATTCTTTGTTTTTTGTCTTTAAAAAGGAAGACATATAACTCTTGACATAAACCATACTGTAGAATGTGCTGAACAAATATTTCATCAAAGGGGAGAAGTTTATCTTAGAGTCATTTTGCTGCCAAATGATTTATTAGAACTCAGAGCCAAAACA